AGGGGTAATAGGCTGAAACATGGAATTAAAAGCCAAAAAAACCCACACTGTGGAAAAGAGAATTGTTTCTTATTGACAATACTATAGATACTCTAATTTAAAAGAGATTTTATGAATGTAGCCTACTCATGCAAAATATATTTACAGAATTTTACAGACCAGTGAAAAGGGAAAAAAATTAAATGTGTACCATTAGAAGTCTGTAAGTAATTAGTTCACTTGACACTGAAAGTTTTTTAATCTTACTGACAGTTTGGATTCTTAGTAGCTTTGATACCTATATATAAATTCTTAGTTAAAAAAACTTGTTTTCATTAATGACTTGTAGCACTTATAAGTATGATCTATTTAAGATAAAAACTTCTTTGCAGGTCTGGGAAAAGATTAAGAATTTATGATGACCACTCTCACAATGATTTGCAAGGACAGATGCAGTCGAGAGATTTTGATTTCATTAATAAGGGACCTGGACAAAGACGAAGACCATTTCATGACCATGAGACTCAGGATGATTTAAGAGCACCGGTGCAGATGAGAAATTGGGACTACAATAGGGGACCAGGACAGAGGCGAAGACCCTTTCCTGATCACCAGTTTTATGATGATTATCAAGAAGACATGCAGCTGAAGGACCTAGACTTCAGTAACAAGGGACCTGGACAAAGGTTGAGACCTTTTCATGGACAGCAGTTTCATGATGATTTACAGGCAGAGAGACAATCGAGGGACATTGAATTTAACAGAGGCCGTGGACAAAGACAGAGATCTTTTCCTGACCATCCATGTCACAATGATTTGCAGGAAGACAGACAGTCAAAGGATTTTGATTTTGGTAGAAGGGGCCGTGGCCAGAGACGAAGACCATTCCATGACCACCATGATGAATTTCAGACTCAGATGCAGTTGAAAGAGTTAGATTGTGTCAACAAAGGTCCTGGCCAAAGACGAAGATCTTTCCATGACTATCAGTCACATGATGACTTACAGCCACAGATGCAATTGGGAGATTTTGAATTTGTTAACAGGGGTCGTGGGCAGCGGTTGAGACCTTTCAATGATCACCAGCCTCGCAATGACTTACAAACAGAGATGCGACTGAAAGATTATGATAATAAACGTCCTGGACAAAGGCACAGACATTTTCATGACCATCAGCCTTATGATGACTTACAGGAGCAGACTCAGTTAGAAGACTTTGATTATGTTAATAAAGGGCATAGTCAAAGGCCAAGACCTTTTCATGATCATCCAGGTCATGATGACTTGCCACATGAATGGTGTTCAGACAGGTAAAGCATCCTTGAGTTGTAAGACCAGAATTAGAGAATAAAAGTGTAAACGTCAGCACTTTTAAATTAAATTTCAATTTAATTATTTTTAAAATAAATTAATTTTAAATCAATTAATCATCCTTTAAAAATCATATATAAAAGATCAGTTAATTAACTCTCTCTATTTTGATTTATGGAAGGGTGTGACGTAAGCTGGAGTGTTGCAGCTTTGAAAGCCAGCGTTTCCTAAATTGGAAGGTTGTGCTTCTATAAATTAAAGCTTATGTGTTTCCTTTACATTTTTAGAGTCAGCTTGAAACAAAACTCTTTGTCCCACTTTGTTTTGCATGGAAACTTACATTTAAAAAGCAATCCTGAAGACAGAAGAGGATATTAAATTTTATTTATGCCCTTAGCCAGAGATAAGCAGTAATGGTACAAGGAAGTTTGACTTGCATTTGTTTATTTCATGAGTTAATAATTTGTTAGAAATCCCTTTGCTTCTGAACTTGCATCATATTTTCCCAAATATTTATGACTTACTAGTAAACCTATTGGATTGTGACATAATATTTAAAAATACTTTTTGCATTTCAGGTATTTTTTGGGCTAGTAAAGTTTGATTTAATCTCTTTCATTGTTTAGCTAAAATAGATGATATTATATCATTACAATTAAGCATACCATTTTGAGGTGTTAAATTAATACAGCTAAGATTGTTTTTATTCACATTTTAAGTAAATTTTAATTAAAAGTAAAAATATTATTTAATAAATGCATATTTTTCAAAAGCTCACAACCATTTGTACTCTTCTTAACATGCAATTGTGTTGGTTATTTGCAGAAATCAATCTATTTCTTCCCATGAAAATGTACAAGAACCTCATTTCTCATCTCCTTCACTTCATAGAGATTATGGGTCTGATAATGATGACTTTAACAGAAATTATAGGTAAATATCAGATTTCATATGTTGTTTTCTGACTTGCCTTTATACTGTTACTCCTCCAGTTTCCCAGCTAAAAAATACACATTAACTGCACAGTTTAAAAATTGATGTTAATATTTATTCTTAAATGCAGATTAAACCATTGAATCTGAACACCGAGCAAATAATGTGGCTAATTAGTGGTCTGTCTATATTGAGTTTGAGTGTGATTATTGAAATGGTTTGAGAATCCCTGACATAAGTCATTGACATGACAATGTCAAGTCAGCACAGTTCAAGTTAATGTACTACAAAATAGGAAAAGCTATTGTCAGTAAGCAAAAAAGCAAAATACAGATGCTGTATTTAAGTCTTAACCGCTGTCTACAACAAGCTAATGAGCTTTACTGTGAGGGATGTTCAGACACAGAAACAAGTTGCCCAGCGCAGCTGTGAAATCTCCATCCTTTGAGATACTTGGAACTCAGCTGGACATGGCCCCTGCACAAACTCATCTAATTAGACCTGCTTTGAGTGGGTGGTCCTAGGTACTTGTAGAGATCCTTTCCAGTTTAAATTAATCTATGGTTCACTGGGGGAGAAGATTTTAAAAGTACAAAGATTGTTCTGAATTGGCTTTACACACCGCTTATTTTACAAAGTAAGTAAGGTACTTGAGAGTAAAGAGAATCCAAAACAGAAAGTGTATATACCGTATGTGTATTTTTAGATCTTTCCATATGTATTTTGTAGGAGAGTGATTCTCCTATTGCAGAAGAATAAATAATTAAAGTATCTGGAGATATAAATCCAAAGTATATTATTGCCTGTTGAAACCATGTACTCGAGAGCTACTGTTACATATTACAAAAAATTAAAACACGGGCTGAGGAACAAAAATGGCCCCTAGGTAAAGAAAGCCTCATTAAACAGGGAATTTTAATTAGATAAACACTTGAAACAAAACATCTTCTAATATAATTACTTACTATAAATAGCTGTAATTTTAATTACTAGAAATGAAAAATTAATATAAACAAGTTTGCAACATCCAGTAGAGAGGATTTTAATTTTAGAGGTAAAAACAAGAATCAGGGTCTGAATTGTTCTTTCAGGGTTACACAAGTTTAATTTGTAATGGTGGCCAACAACAGTAAATCAGCTGTTTCATTTCAAAAGATTTCATTGTTCATATTTGTTCTTACAGCAATCGACTAAATTGTCCTGAAGACAATAGGAGAATGCATCCCTCAGATGAATTTAATAGAGGAAAAAACAGATTTGCACCATATTCTTCACGAACAATGCATCCATCTTCATCTGTACACCAAGAAGATAGTTCCATAGACTATGAAAGAAAACCTTCTCAAGGTGAAACCACCAGGGAGATGGAACAAAGCAAAAGATTACCAGTTGTAACAGTTGATTACAATTATGGTCTGCCATTAGATTATGGGCCTGAAGAGGAAGAGAGCACACGTTATGGTTTATCTCCAAGAGACCACTACAACTGGAACTGAATAAAAAGGACAATGTTTGCTCATCTTAGGCTTACTTCTACCCATTTTACTTTGTATGTGGACCAATTTTTTTTCATTTTTTTTTTTTTTACAAATTAGGAAAATACAAATTTCAGTAGTAGAGAACTAGTCTCTATTGTTTAGCTTCTTCTGATGTTTGATTCTTTAAATTTACTAGGGTGTATTTGTTAAGTGTAGTTGGAGACAAGGTCTTGGTGCACATGGAATGAAAGTAGGCCTTCCTTTTAGTGAAATTGGAACACTGTACCTTAAAACAAACAACTTTCTGAGTGAGTGTGTTTGTGTATTTCATTATACATTTCTTTAAAATGTATGTAATTTCCAGATGCAAAAGTCATAATAAAATACTGCACTATCAGGTAAACTAGCATTGAGATTATAGAAAAAATACTATGAAATGAGTGAAGCAAAGTTATGTCCGCTTCATGCTTTAATTTGAAAATAGCAGATTGAATTATCGCTAACAATCTCTGCAGCATTGCAATTTAATTTCAGATTTTCTGTATCATCAACTGAACTGACCTAGTTGCACTCTCTTTCATAGCAGAATTTTCCCCAGATTGCTAAGAACATGAAAGCAAATGGAGACTGAATACTCCAAATGTCTAACTTGCTTTTCAGTAATCTGAATATCCCATCCTTATTGAATATTTTTTCCTGATCCCGTAGGTTCTGTATGTTTCAGAATAGCCCTGTGCAGGTAAACTTCAAAGTTTTCTCAGCAATACATCCAAATGAGGTAGGTCACATATCATCAGCTTACCTGTCTCAACTGGCCAAGATCACCAGTGCCTATATAGTTACACCTCCCTGTCAGTCATATCTGTCTTATTCTGTAGTTCTATTTTCTACTAGTTTCTTTTTACAGCACAGCAGAGTAATGTAATCAGAATAGAAGAATAACCTCTTCAGGTAAGTTACTTTTAGAAGTCATGTATTGGACAGTCTCCTCTGAACTGCCATTTTTGACGCTCTCAAGAAAGTAGTGCAACAAACGGTAACTAAATTCATGCCAGCAGCTGCAAAGTAGCACCAACAGCTCCTACTGTGGATAAACAAACCTTAGTTCATAGGACAGAAAACAGTATTAATGTAGTACTTGGGTAAAAAAATTTTTTTTTCATTATTATTACATTTTAATAAATCAGTATTTTAAAGGGCATCACAGTGAATAAGGATAAAGCTAGACCATGATATTAAAATAAACAATTAAAATGAATGTTAGATACTTAAGTCATGAGTTAAGAAACTGCCTCAAAAGCAGCACAGCCATAAAGCATAAAGCAAGAGGGTGCAGGTATACACTAGAAAACTGGGGGCGGGGGGGGGAAGTGTTCACAGCCGGAACCCACAGAGCTTTTTTGCCTTTTAACTAGCAGCATAAAACCCAGATTTCTGAATTCATAGTTCTATGACTACTAAATAAGGATTAGATTTGAGAAGTGTGGAACATTTGGCAACTCCTGTTGTTTTGTAACACATGCAAAAAGTTCCCAATATCAAAGGATTCTGTGGATATAAATTCAAACTGCAAATGCTTCATTGCCTTTGCAACTGGTAGAACAACTTTGGCTTTGTACAATGAACAAAGTAAGTAGTTTTCTCATTTTCACAGCAGCTAGTCAATTGTATTTCCCATTAAATCTGATTGTGAGCCTCATTCGTGTCGTCTCAGGAATGAAGCTCTCTGTAAACCAGTTGTGGAACTGAGCACTAAATGTTAAGAAAAGGTTTATGTTCCTTCACTTGCTTTTTAAATTATTTTTCCTTTTTTTTTTTTTTATGAGGAGAAGCTGAGAATCTTTATCTAGCCTTCTTTATTTGAAGGTGAGGAAGAGCTGCAACTTGGGCTCCTATATTGCCAGATGCTTTAAAAAAAAACGCAGCAACAAAAAACCTCTTCCTGGTGTTCTCCAGCAGGGATATAAGAATCAGGGACTGGTATTACAAGCATTTGGGTTTTTTTTTTTTTACACTATGTATGCAGTATTCATAAAGTGAATAAAGAGCAAACATTTGCCCTTCAAAGTTTTGTTTTGGGGTTTGAATTGTGTTTTGAATTATGTTTTTTAGGATTGAAGTGATGCTACAGTCAGTCCTTTTTTACTTCAGACTAGGGGTGCTAGGACTCCCTGGATAGCTGAAAAGCTGGTGCATGGGAAAGCCCGGTGCAAAGAGGAATATGGCATAAGGAGTTGGGATCAGCACTAGCTGTTACCAGTCCTTGGTCAGTTCCTGCAGGACCTTTTGAGGGTTTAGATACAAACAGTCAGATGGTATAATTCCCATTATCTCACAAAATAAATGTCGCTTCATAACTATGTTGGATTCCTCTTTTCAAGCAAAATTAATAGATACGATGTTTCCACATATGGCTTTGAGATGACTATATGAAAATAGCCAAAGTTATGTTTGTTTATTTTTTTATTTATTTTTAGCATTTAGGGTAAGGCTTTCTGACCTATTTTTCCTAATGGAATTAAGCAGAGCTAAGCCCTCATATTATGTTACAAACTGTTACTGACATTTATCTCAAGTTCCACAGCTGAGTCATCACTGCTTATTTGCATCTGTAGTATTCAATTACTAATTAATCCACATGGTGGAGAATGAAATTAAATGAAATAAAATGCTCCTTGTTTTTTAACTGAGTATCGTATTACAGTGGCACTCATAAAAAAAAACCCCAAACCAACACTTTTTCTCTTATTTCACAGTTCTACAAAAATGTCATAAAATCTTGCTGGCCTCTTTTTGTGCATGTTCTCAGCAAACCTAGAAATAGCTGTTGTTCTCTCACAGAACAGGAACAATCATGGCTTGGATGGACAGTGTTGGTTTCCCACTGCCCTGAGTGTGAAATCTTGAAGAAAAACACAAGGATACAGAAAATCCAGAGGTAGCACAGAATTATTTGAAGGAGTTGTAAGAGTTTTAATATATATAACTATTGAAATCTGAACTCACAGAAAACTTCTGTTTCTGTTGCTGCCCTAAAGTCATGATTTAATTGGAGACCTGATTTTTATCAGGTGGTGAAGCCATGGGGCCAGCTCACCCTGAGGTATGATCACACTGAGTTAGGAAATGTTCAAGTGGTTCCTGGAAAGTGCTGGGAAAAAGTTTGGATGAGCTCTATGCAGAAGGCTGACGCCCAAGAAGAGCTTGGGAAAAAGAAAGATTAGCTCTAGCAGGAAACTAGAACACAGGGATACAACTAAGTTTATACACAGAAACCTGCATTACACATACAGCTAATTTATTTTTGCATATGAAGAATAAAGTTATCTTAAAAAGGGCTAGAAAGGTTTGCATGTGACTATTTTTCTCTCAGCTGGGGAAAAAGGTAAGTGACCTACAAGGAGCCACAAGTACAGTTAGGATCCTTTCCTGTTTATCTGCATCTAAAGTAACTGCTAGCAAGCCGCAGGCTTCTTTTCATGTGAAAAGTGATCAGTGGTGTGTTATGATTCAAGTTCGGGGTGCACTACTACAACCAGTGTGCCAGTACTAGAGGTTAAATGACCCGAGCACTAGCTTTTGAAGATCAGTTCCTTCTTCAGATGTCTCACATGAGGCATCCAGAACTGCAGACATCCAAAATAATTTGTGGTTTAGAACCTGCTCAGTGCTGGGGAAAGAAGGAATGCGTTCCTTGTCTGGTGTTCAGCAAGGGGTTATGAATCCCTGCCACTGTGAACAGAATTTTATTTAAAATATGTGTGCAAACAAAAAGCAATAGCTTCCATGCTGTTAGCAACCTCTAGTGTTTGTCTCTTCTCCAGGCTGACTCTCACTTGCTCCAGTTAGCAACAGACTCTGCTTTACCGGTTCCAGTGGACAGCAACTACCAAACCTGCAGATTCCTTTCTTCTTGTGGCGAATCAGAAAAACCAGATGACAAAAAGGAACCAGGTGAGGAGGCAACTTGGCTCTCCTTCCTCCTGAGGTGAGAAGACAATGTGGGGATGGGGGGAAGGACATGGGAAAAAAAAAAAAGTTAGAAAAGGAAGGAAGAGGGGAAATTAAAATTAAAATGTCGGCGGGAGAGAGTTATCGGTGTGAGGGAAGAAATGTGCAAAGGCACGTGTAAAAAGCTGGTGAAAGATTACTGGGTATAAAAAGAGGGCATATGCTGGAGGAGGAGATCCTGGCAACTTCTTATCTGGGTCTTCTAAGCTGTGCCTGTGGGTCTGCGTGAGCACCATGCTGATGTAAATAACAGTTATCAAAAACATACAGGAGCACTCAGACCTCTAATCCTGCAATAAAGTCATGTGGGAGCTTAAAACTAATTAAGGCTTCCCCTTCAAGCTTTAAATCTGATCTATGTGTAGTATAATACCCTGAAGATACTCCCTTGAGAAATTGAAACAATCAAGCAAGAAACTACTCCACAAATCCGTTTCACACATTGAGAAGCTAGGTTTTTACTGGACATAAGGAATTCCACCATTTGCAGAATCTGAGAATCAAATCCAATTTGTTTATTACAAATACATACCTGTCTTATTGCACACTTTCAGGACAGTATCAAAACACACTATAATGTTGCTGTTACTGTGCCCATCAAACAAAACTTAGAGTTATGAATTAGTTCAAGTGTAACAAACAAATCTGAAGTAACTGCCTCTATAAGAAGTACAGCAAGCAAGTCAATGCAGAGTCACACTGAAAGCAGGAGGCATTTTCTTCCTTTATGAGGAACGTTCGGGCCTGAATGTTCCACAAAGGAAGAAGAGCGAGCCCCCAAGATAGATAAACTTAAAAGTCGACATAGGTAAGGATGATCTTCATGCAGTTCTTCAAAGGACCTCCTCTGACATAAACAGAATTTTCCACTTTGCAAGTTGTACTACCGAACAAAAGTCTAAACAGCAAAATTAACCCTTTAAGGAGAAGATAAGAGAGTACAAGCTTTTGTTGATACATGTTAATTGCATCTCAATCCATCTTTGGGATGCACATAGTAAATAGAAGAAAGAAAGTATAAACTGGTATTGCAAATTGAATGCTACAGCTGATTCATCCTTGTTTGCACACCCCAGATGAAAAAATGGGACCACCATATCCTGGTTTCTACATCATGTTGGAGCTATTTAGTAGCATTTC